AGAAAAGAGGTGCTGCGCGGGTGCGCAGGGGATTACCCAATAGCGATAGCCTTAGAGGGCGAAGCCATAGGCCTATACGAAATAGAACATGCAGGTAACATTGACGAAGATCAGACAAAGCGCTCAAGGAAGGACAGGACTAAATACACACAAGGGTAATCACAGGACAAGACACAGCTGGGAAGGGGAGGTGAAACACAGGGGCAGCAGGTGGACACCATAACACAATCAGGCACAGGAGGGAAACTAAAGACAGGAAGGCAAACACAGGAAGTAAGACCAGACAAGACACAAGGAGGAAAACATTTCAAAATGAAGGTGGAAAATAGCAACAAACCCAAACCCATGACACATTTATCTTCACACTGTAGGCCTATCCCTCTGTCCTCTTCTACAGTGCTCCTGGTTGATGAATTAGGAAGATGTTCCTCCCTGTAAGTCCCCTTCCTCTCTCCATGTTTTTGATTTGTGCAGAACCTTACATTCTGATCATGGAGTATGTGACATATGGCACTCTGAGGACCTTCCTGCAGACCAACAGAGCTCATTTAAGTGAAGACCCTGAGCTGCAGAGCCTCCTCACCATCGCTTCCTACCACATCGCTCTGGCCCTGCAGCACCTGCGCTCCAAAATGGTAGCAACATAACCGGCTCTTATGAAGTCGTCAGGTTCCATCTATCCATGCTAAGCAGTCTGTGTGGGATCTTTTCTGCAGATTGTGCACTGTGACCTGGCTCTGAGGAACATCATGGTCAATAAGTTTCCCTGGGAGGTAAAGGTAGCGGAGTTCGGACTGGCCCGAGATTTAACGCGCATGACAAGCCGCCGCAGCAGCAGCAGCCGCTGGAGGAACCCAAGGGTAACACTCTCACACACACACACACACACACACACACACACACACACACACACACACACACACACACACACACACACACACACACACACACACACACACACACACACACACACACAAAATGCCAATTTTAGTCAAACCTTACATCAGACCCTTTTTGTCACATTTTATACCAAATTGACACATTTGAAACAACGTGTGGTCACATCTTGTATCATTGCCATATACATTTGTTACACATGTCACCTTTTGGTGAAATGCTTGCATGCTTGTGTGAAAATTATGACAAGTGGTTGTCAAAAGAGAGAAAATATACTCTTAGCAGCCCTTATGCTACAAACAGACAGTGCAAGGTTAGCTTGCAGCCACATGAGACTAACATGTAACACACACATTTTTCAAACTGATATCTTAGTCTCAGTTTTACCTCCATGAAACCATATTAACTGTCCCTAAGTGTATGTTTGTCTGTGTGTGTTTGTGTTAAGGGGGGGTAGCAGCATCCTCTGCAACAGGAAACAACAGTTTCGGAGAGATGTGGTCTTGATTTAGAGCCGTAACGTGTCATTCAGTCAACACAGCGGGTATTCATAATTTCCACATGAGCTCCCTTGTGTTGTGTTCGAAAGCTTTTACCGTTCATGGTGTTCGCAGGTACATTTTGACCCATGATTTATCTCAGTCCAAAACACTCAATAATAATGACTATCACCCGATATTGTTTTAACTACATCATAACTAACTTATTATGCGTTCATAACCGTACAATTCTGTTGAAATTTAATGTTATGGCCCCAAAAAACCTTACACCACATATTTAAGTAAAACATGTGATTCAATCCACTCATTATATTCACTATAGTGAAGACAGTGATCATTACGTTATCTGACTATAATAGACTAATATTAGAATACAATCTCCCCAAAAAAAGTTTTCAATTATTGTTACACTGTATGAAGGGGGTGGGGGTGGGGTGTCTAAAGTCAAAGATTAATCTTGATTGGGCCAAATTTGACCCCGAGTCACCCACAAACAACAATGCTGCTGGGTCTCCCCAGACCCGAACACCAAAATATACACTTTTTTTTTTGGAGACCTTCAGACTTGGCTAAAATGTTCAAAATCAGTTTTTTTGTGTTTATATAGCTCGATATCATGATGCGTAGTTATTATATAATTTTAACTTGAAACGGGTCACGGGAGACCCGAACACCACATTAGGGTTAAGTCTACTAAAATGATATCAATATATTAAAGTTCGCAGTGACACTGTATACTGATGTCTCAAATAGTTATTAAATGTCATCTTTATTTCTGCTGGTCTATGGTGTGAGATGAGGTGCTGGTCACACCCTTTTTACAGGTCACATTTCATCACATTTTCCATTGTCTGTAACTTGACAGCAGCGTGTGCCGCTGCGATGGTACCCACCTGAGTACTTCAAGAACAACTATTACAGCTTCAAAGGAGACGTGTGGGCCTTCGGCATCGTGCTGTGGGAGATGCAGACATTTGGTGAGGTGGTTATTAGTGTAATAGCACAAATGATGTGGCAAAGAATGATTTATATAGAAGGTTAGACCAAAGTCCAAAGTGATTCACCTCCTGTTTGACTGCCTTGTTTAGTTGTATTTGTGTTAATATATTCTTAAGGGAAGAATCACATTTCGTACTACCCTAAAACCATGTTATTGTGGGAAACATTTTCAGAGACAGCAGTTAACTAAAGACCTTGAACTTGTTCAATTGCTATACAGGTAGGTTTGTTTTCCTTTAGAATACATCTCATTATGTTATCACATTTTCAGGTACACTGCCATACCCAAACCTGGAGACATCAGAAGCGGTCATGTATCACATCTGTATTGGTCATAAGAACACAAACCCTGAAGGCTGCAGACCAGAGATGTAAGAAAAAACTCACAATTACAAAAACAGGTTTGGTCTTTTCAAAAGCTACATTAAATAAGCAGTTTTTGGCAGTTAGTGAATAGTCTCAAAGTTGCATCTTTGAGTACCATCAATCCAAAGCAATAATATGCAGCTCAAGAAATAAGATGTCTTAACTACAGCCACAGTGTGGGAAAAGCCTCTGTGTTATCAGAGGCAGAGCTCATGACAAAACAGTTAATACAATAAATCAAATGTATTTACCAAAACTATTGCTATATGTGAATCTGGTATCTGATTCTCATTGAGTCATGATCCAAGTTTGCACTATAAAATTGTCTTTAAATAGTATGATACTTCAGTAATTTATTGCATGACGATACTTGTTGTTTAATTTAATCTAATTCCACAGACTTCATATCATGAAAGACTGTTGGCTGGAGCCCTACACTCTGAGACCCTCGTTCACAGACATCGTCCGCATGCTGGAGAACATCATGGAAAGCGATGCGGTAAAGAGCAGCTGGTTCACCACTTTTTTAATGATTTACAATAGTGATTGATCTTGGAAAGGCCATTCATTATCTATCTTTTGTATCCTTACATTGTTGTTATTTGTAAAAATGAACAAATCATGTATCTTTCATTCTTTAAAAAAATACTCAACCTTGATTAAATGCAGACTACATGCAAATGACTTTACATACTTAAAATATTGTTTTTTTATATTGCAGGATTATGTGGATGTTGAAAGTCCACTTTTGCTGAAAGAGGAGGCTGAATATCATGAAGCTCGATGTCTACGGGCAGCCAGCGTCACCTTGGAAGATGCAAATACCGTCTAAGTATCAGAAAGATGTTTTCTGAACAATTGAATGTATTTAAAACAAATCTAAATGGGTTTGTTTCCTTTTTAAGGCTGCATTGATCTACTAAGCCTTTCAAGCGCTTTCTAAAATATAGCAACTGTAAAATGATCACACATCAACAAATCAACAGAGAGCATGGTCAAAATTATGTACTTATTATATATTCTTGTTAAGAACTGTAAACTATGTTTTATGTTGTATTTTTCCATTATAAATGTGTTTATATTTATTTTTGTATCCATCCTGTTGATAACTCATCTATAATGTTGATTTTCTGTGATGTTAAATGCTCTTTTTTGCCTTGAGCTCTGTTCATGTTTACTTTCAGAAATACACTTTCTTATTTATCAATAATAGATGTGTATTGCTTACTTTTGTATTTAAATTCCAGCTTTTAGATTTACGATTGATTTTTAATCACACCGTTAATCATTCATTATTATTTCCCTCAAACTTTAATGAATCAATAACATATAAGTTGCACATTATTGCTGTTATTTTATTAGGCATTGTAGTATTCTATTATATAAACATATGACCATACCAACAATTAAATTAACAGATAATACTGAACAGAAATAATAAGAACTTGCTAAATAAACCTTAAAAAAAACGTTCTCTGATGTTTCCATAGCATTCTATGAGCATTTCCGACACTATAAGGACTGCCTGAAGCGGCCGTGTGCGTTAAGGCCCGCCCCCTTCTCCTGTGGAAACCAATGGGATTCCTCCTGGGAACACGCGTTTCTATGACACTCTGCTGCTGCGAACTTGGTCCCGGTTTCTTATCTGTCATTTGCGCTGAATAAGATTTCGAAATGTCTATCCGCGTGTTTGAAATCCTGTTCTTCTTTTATTTCGCCTCTCATATTCCTATAACATTGTTTATTGACTTACAAGCCCTGCTACCGGGACATGTGTACCCTCAGCCGGTAAGTGACAGGACAGCAGGAAATATAATCCACATTTCAACACGAGATACTTAAAGTGACTGAAACTTGGTGGGTATATGACAACATTACTCTTTCTCTCCCCCAGCTCAAGGATCTTATCAGGTGGTATGCAGAGGAGTTCAAAGACCCCATGGTGCTGGACCCTCCACAGTGGTTCAAATCTTTTATTGTCTGCGAGGCTTTGTTTCAAACGCCTTTCTTTCCCGTTGCAGCTTATGCATTCCTTAAAGGTCAGTAAATGGCATGCTAAATCTGGTTACAGAAATAAATATGTATTTACTGTTTTATTAATGTATTCCTGTATTGATCTCAACATGTATATATTATTTTTTTGTTTATTCTTGTTTGTATTTATTTATTTACGTTTTTGTTCATTTAATTCTATATTTATTTATTAATTTAGTTTATTCCTGTTTATTTTTTATTAATTAGAATTTATGTATTTATTCATATATTTATTTCAGCATTTATTTTTTGTTTATTCCTGTATGTATTTATTTATTTACGTATTTTTGATTAAATTAATTATACTTTTGTTATTTTTCGTCATCCATAAATCCCTGCGCGGTGTCTATTTGAAGTTCATGTCAATTATTTTAAATAGGGTTGTTTTTTTCGTCGCGTCCCCAAATAAATTGAGACAAATGGTATTTTGCTTCCACAGCATCTAAAATGATATTTCAAAAAGTCCAAAAAGATCCAAAAACGTACCTGTAGTTATGAATGAAGCTTCTTGTATTGTGCAGCATGAAGACTCTTCTTATATCTCTGTGTGTTTCTTGTCTTTCAGGTGGCTGTAAGTGGATCAGGACTCCTGCCATCGTGTACGCCACACATGTAGCCACCACTCTGGTCCCCATCCTCACTCACATCCTCTTCTATCAGTTCCCGATGAAGCCCCACCCCGGTCCCCAGACCCCACAAGAGCGCTGGCTGCTGTTCTCCATATACGTTCCCTACCTGCTGGTTCCTGTGCTGCTGCTCCTCACCATGCTGCTGTCCTCCACTTACAACTCCACCCTCAAGCCTGCAGACACACCGGCCAAATCCAAGAAGAGGAACTAAGAAAGAATCACACTACAGCTGTCTAATTCACTCTGATTTTACAAGTTAAACTCTGCCATGAGAAATGTGTAAAGTCCTGCGGTTTTCTGTGTTTTGGTGTTCTTTTAAATAAATGTCATTTAAAGACTTGAGTGAAAAAACAAGCAGTGTGTTATTGCTGCACACGCATTGTATTGTCCACCAATATAGACTTTTAAGAAACACCTCTGCTTTCCATTTGAACTTACATTGTGGATTGGCAGATCCATGTCTGCATTAATACTGCCCTCTACAACATGTAAGAGATTCAAGATTCAAATATGTATTGTCTACGTTGTAGTTGCAATAAATGAAAAACTTAGGTCACAGGTTCCTCAACAGTGCTACAGTGCATTTACAAGATACACATTTTTATAAGACTTAAATAAAATATTCAGAAAAAAAATGGTGCTAGCTCAGGTGTTTAATAGTGTTATGCCCTCTAGGATGAAACTGTCCCCGAGTCTGGTGGTTTTAGTCCGGATGCTGCGGTACCGCCTGCCAGACGGCAGCAGACAGAATAGTTTGTGGCTGGGGTGATGGGGTCTTTTATAATCCTGAGGGCTCTCTTTCTGAGCCGCTGGGAGTAAAGGTCCTCCATGGATGGCAGCTCCGTCCTGGTGATGTGCTGTGCAGTTTTCACCACCCTCAAATGAGATAGCCTTGGAGTTTAACCTTTTAGTATTTTATATATCACAGAGAGATTAGACTCTACATTTAGGTACAAATCACGTGTGTTTGCAGATGCTATTGAATGCTTTGTCAGATTCCCAGTTTTGTTCACTTTTATTAATGAATTAGGATATTTTCTGACTTGAGGTAATATTTGATTCATTATTACCCATGCTTTGAGCAGTTTCATGTCTGTTGTTCAATTACAGATTACTGACATCTTTATATTCCCCAAAGAAAGATATTATATATGAACCAGTGTCCACACCAAATCCTTATTTAGTGTTAGTATACATCTTAACATTTTCGAGTTTGTAGGCAAAATAATACATTTAAGTTAAAGAATTGAAACCCCCATCACGTCCCTAAATAACCCTATTGTCCTCAATACGGGTCTTTCTATGTGTGAGTTCAGCCAGGGGCATGAAGACAAAGCGGTATTGTTTCCAGCCACCAGAGGGAGTCAGACCTAAACAGAGCAGGTATTGTAGGCTATGGTAAACTACTGTATAGACTTGCCATTTGTCAAATGTTTCTCCTAGTCGCAATTCAACATTTTCTAATGACACGTTTTCTTTTGTCATGTACAGTAGACCTCCCACGCTTGAAATAATGCTATGTAGTCATAATTGAGCAACATTTAGAACGTGATTAATCTGTAAATTATTGTTATTGTTTTTTCCTTTTTTGATTGATACCATGTTACATATTAAAAATAAGAACGATATATATCTATAATTATGTATTAATAATAGATCAACATTTGGAATATATATTTTACAAATGACATTTTATCAAATGTAATATGTAACAAACCAATCACTTGTTCAGTGATAATTATTTGAACCTGTACCTCTCAACAATCCGCGTATATTTGCATATACTTCATATATATGTTATCCAAATATAAATATAGTTAAAGTAATTTATTATCTGTAAGTTAGTGGAAATACCAAATGACTTGCATTTTTAGATCCTCAGTAGACGGACCAACTCTTGCAGCGGAAGGACATGTCTCAAACAGCCCTCCGCGGACGGATAGGCTATAAAGCCAGAATATGGGACTAGTTTCCAGTATTGTTAAAATCACCGTCAGGACGAGAAGACTTCCCTCCTGTCATGATGTGAAGGAGGTGTACAGAGATTAAAACAGTACAATTTACATTAGCAGTTTAACGTACTGTACTTTAACGTGAAAATACAGTTAAGTGAAGGCGACAGCTTACTGCTCTTACTGCTACTTACACCAACGTTTCTTGACGACGGAGAAACAACCAAGTGTTCTTTGATGTGACACGGATAACATTAACTCTCACTGGGGAAACGTCTGTGTTTATCAAGAGGAGAGACATATTTCTTGTGGATTAATTGTGGAAGAAGACGGACCATAAGGACTTCAGAAAAACAACAGCTCTGTATTGACATTGTGTTCCATTCTTCAGATTTTGTATGCTAACTAGTTCCCGGATGTCGGCTATCTTTACAGGTTGCTACATTAATACAGATAGAAGCAGGTTGAATTATTAAGGATCACAAGACAATGTATTTCAATTGTTAGCATGTTAGCATTGACCTGCTATGGGCAGCAGCTATGACGCTAGGTGTAGCCACAGGGTTATGTCACTGTCAGGCTAACAGATAGCTCGCTGTCTGCAGCTGTTCTCAGTGTTTGCATGGTCATGTCCAGCAGCATCATGTAGACTGTCCTCGTGAACCAGGTTACTGGACACACACAGTGAGATAGTGAGCCTCTTAAGAGAGTAATGTAAAGCTGGTTTGCATCCATCAAACTGGACAGCTGGCACTGAAATACCAAGCTCAGGATTGTTGTTAGCCATGCTCAAAGCCGTCTGTTTGTGATATTACAAACATCCCAACCTACTTAGAGGACGTGTGAATGCATCATGTCCTGAATGCATCTCTTATTTATGCACATCAGAGCAGCCTGTCATGGAGTAAATCCGTAGTGCAAGAAGCAGCATCAATAAGACTGAGAGCATCGTTTGCTCCAGGATTATTTTCTGAAGAGTAGAGCAACATATAAAAGGAGCAGCTGGACCATCATCCCACCACAATGGAGACTGTGGGAGATTTTGAGTACAGCAGGAAAGACCTGGTTGGACATGGAGCCTTCGCTGTGGTGTTCAAAGGAAGACACAGGAAGGTAAATAAATAACTCACCTGCAGTGTTGTCTTCCCTATCTCTCTCCCTCTTCTTCCTCAGGGCTTCATTTGGAAATCTGGGTCAGTCAGTGCAGCATGCAGTTCTGCAGCAACACATGTGGACTGTCACCTTTTTGCAGGGTTCTAAAACTAGACTGCTTTCATGACTAAACGTCCTGTCTGTTGTGTACAATCATGCTACAGAGGTGATTTCAGTACTATTTAATCAGCCGCACGTCTGTTACAAGTGTGCTTTTATACCGCTTGGTTCATTCATGAAACGGATGAGTCAGGCAGCAGTGAATGACTTGCTGACGTACTGTGGGAGGATGGGGGTGCAGGGTTTTTCCTGGGCCTTTTTAAGGAGCTTATGTAAGAGCTGCAT